ACCCACACAAGTAAAGCCAGAACCTCTAAATGGTTATCAGAACTTTGGCTTAAAGTTGGACGCTCCATCTCCGGCCACTACGCTGGCCCAAACGTTAGGATTGGCCCCCATAGTCACTAGCCAGAGCTTAAATTATGCGAGTCAGATGCTCCTGAGACAGCATCAGGTAACGCTTGCCCTTTGGTGCACTACTGTGTAAGTATCTCTGAGTGTTTTGCTTTTAGATGGAACAAATGAGCTCGCTGATCAACGGTCTTCCAACGCTACCTCAACCTTTGAAATGCGCTGCCTGCGATTTCCAAACAAACTCTCAGGAGGAGCTAATGCGGCACAACGTCAGCCACTTCCTTACTCAGTCAAATCAAAGTCCTATCGCCAGCCTTTATCAAGCATTGCCTCAGGTATACATTTTAAATTCTAATTTTTTCGATCTTTTACCCAATCATAATAATGGCACACAATCAACAAAGTCCTTCCAGATGAACTCCTTTGCGCCTCCACTTGAAACCGTTGTAGACAAGCATGTCAACGTAGAAACTCATGAAGAGCGTGACAGCGGTCATGTGGGTGACGACGAGATGGAGGGCAGTACTGGCAGCACTAGCAGTCCTCATTGTAGTTCTAAAGGTAGGTGAAAAAGAGGCCAAAATTGAAGAATGTAGCTATTCCTAAAATGTTCAGGTTCCGGTGATGAAATTGAGCAGCCTGGTAGGAAAATTAAAGCGTTCAAATTGGATCAGATAAGTCAGCGACTGCAAGGAAAGAGCCCAACTGGAAGTGAGGACAGTGATGAAAAGGAGACTGAGGATGTGAGCTTTGAAGTAAAACAAAATTTAGCTACAAATATATTCAAGATGAGGTCAGGGCAGATTCCAGATTCAACTTGTATTTGGTATCTCATAGTGCATTCAACAAAGAGATCAGGAAAATGGTTTGATTTTCAAAAGCAGCTTTTTTAGCACCACGTTGAATCTTCCGTCTCACCGGCCCCAGATCCGCCAGCTTCTAACTCCACGTCCGTAGTTAGGGCAATCGCTCAACCTTTTATGTCTATTGCTCCCGAAAACAACCTGAACATCTTTCAACAAGCCTATCTTGCGCAGTTGAGTGCGCTTGCCGCCAGAAGAGATGAGGCTTCTTGGCGGTTCCAGTGTCAGCATTGTAGGATGGCTTTCCAGGTTAGGAACTTAGGAAGTTCATGCTAGAAAGCATTTATCGAAGATGTTTAGAGGCTGTTTAGTCTTATCAAGTGCACATTTCAGGACCAGGCTCTCTACAATATTCACATGGGCTACCATGGCTACGAACACGTATTCAAGTGTAATAGGTGTGGTCATATTGCTCCCGACTCGCTAACCTTCAATCTGCATCTGCTGCAGGCGTCTCATGAATAGAATAGACAAGTCTCGAAGCTACTTCAGAACTTGACACCTCCATGATCGTCATGTGGGGCGCCACGAAAATCACGCATTCTTGCTCCCAAACGCTGGTTCCATTCGTTCTCCACTTCACACCGTTATTTTTTTATTTGTCGCTAGTAATAAGTAACTAAGCTAACGTTCATAAACTGAACCGCATCGGTTCTCAGGATTGTACATAGAGCGGGCTTCAAAAAACGGCCTCAACACCTCATTTTTCTCATTCCTCATCGTCCCCCGTATTTTGTTGTAGTGTTTACCCCCCTTCACCCCAGTTGTTCTCTGTTGTCTGTTCGGTCGCTAGATTCGCTACCACCCGACACGGGCTTTGCGTAGTTTTTGCCATATATGACTGACAGGATGCGTATGCGCTAAAATGTTTTTTTCTTGGTTTGTTTGATATCCTCATCGAATTACACGCTCCTCAATTATTCAGGGATTCGCGGGCTGCTAACTGGCTCACTACACAATCACACATATTTTCGTGGATATTCTTAGTAATCCTCTGTCTAGTTGAACTAATCGTGGCCAATCTCACCAGCGAGCATTCTCATTCGCTGCCACGATAAGTTCATAAGCTCTAGTTGATGTTAGCCGTCTTCTAGCTGTTGTCTAGTGTATCACATGTCAAAACCTTATTAGTCTTTAACCTCGCAATTGTCATACAGTCCGAGAGCACTTGTCTAGTTTCCTCTCCCTACCTCCATTAGAAGTTCCACTTTATATTCCAAATTTATCCACTTGCGTGTGTGTCTGTACGGTTTCTCATTCTCAGGGTTGTATCGTCGGAGCCGAATTCAGACCATTTCTCCTCATGCCAAACCTCCTCAGCGTTATGTCGTATCGATGTCGATTGTTAAACTAAAACAATAATCCAGTCTTGTATATACAATCACATATTATATATTGTAATCGCGCATTGTAATTAAAATTGAGTACCAAAGCCGTTCGACATTTGATATAAGTCCGAATTTCAAGGGAATTCCGTCGATGCTCTCATATTTTATACATATAATATTTATTTTTACTGTTCAACTCATCATCGTGTCTGTCCCCGATTCGTACACATCCTCGATACACCTCATTCAATTTTATCCATACCTCGATTGTAACATAAGTATCTCGTTATAACACATCTTGTGCCGTTCCTTTGTTCGGTTTCTGTTGCTTATTGCATGCCTCTCTCAAATAAACGTGCTCTAAGTGATATTTTTGATTTTTTTTTGAGAAGTTCGTCTGAATAATGTCATGTGTTAACATGATTTAGTACAGGCGTTTACATAATGTACAAATATGAATTTGCGTCAAATGAGAAGCCCTTCCCTAAAACGATTAGGCGCCTGTCATCGTGGTCCGTACATTCGAAACTTCTTTGAAAATGGAAAAAACTATAATTATTGGCAAAAAATCAATAAAATCTGCTTAACAGACAAACTTTATCACGGGAAATGGATTTGCAAAAGAACTACTACACAAAAACAAACAGAAAAGCCTGCAGATGTCAAAAAAATTAACTTAAAAGCGCTAAAGCAACATTCAGAACTAATAGTACAAACTGTCCAAACTGCCAATAAACGCTAATAAATTTCTGATGATCAAGCAAAATTTTAACGATGATAACTGAAGTTGATATACTACATAAGCATTTATATTGGATTCGTGACCGTGATTTTTCCTCCAAATCCGCATTTCTGCACTTTGTCTTAGTCAGATGCTGTATGTGGTGTGAAAGCTTTTTCCGTCCTATAAAACCACTCTGTATTCCCAGCTCTTTTGAATTCGTTTTACTAATTGGGCTGAGAATTAAAGCTTCACATCGATAAAAACAGTACTTTTTGATTTCACACAAAGTTTTCTTGTGAATGACCTTGACTTTCAATTTTTGAAAAGCAATTTCACAAATTGATAGCGCTAAGCCGATCATGAGGCCGTAGCCGTCATTGCTTAGGTACTCCTATCATTCTTACGAAAATATGTCGAAACCATTACCTAGTTTAGCCTCTGAGATATTCTATGAACCAATTCTTGAGAGATACTTAGTTATCGAAAGTTACACCTTATTTATGGTTGGAAATCGAGAGAAAATGCATTGAGAGCCATGTCTGGCG